TATCTATCTATCTATCTATCTATCTATCTATCTATATCTATCTATCTATCTATCTATCTACATCTACATCTGGATTTTGCAGTGATCATCAATGTTAAAAACAGCCGTAAATCATTTTTTTCAGTGCTATTGTGACTTCAAATGGTCACTAAATGAAAGATTGTAAGTTGGGGGCTACCCATACAGTTGTAACAAGAAATTGGAGCCAGCTTCCTTAAGGTTCTCTTTCTTGCTTCCAAAAATACTATTTGGAGCTACAGATATGCTGGAATTCATGTCTGTAGCCCTTTGTGTATGTAAGAGAGCTTGAGTTCAGAATTCCCTTACCTCTTGAGTAGAAGCCTCTGTAGGAAATAGAATGAGTGGAGTTGCTTTCTCCAGCTAGATCAGGGGGTCTCCAACCTTGGCAACTTTAAGAGCTGTGGAGTTCAACTCCCAGAATTCCTCAGCTGAGGAATTCTGGGAGTTGAACTCCACAGGTCTTAAAGTTGCCAAAGTTGGAGACCCCTGAGCTGGATGGTCTTCTGATCTTTTGGGTTAATGCTCCCTCCACACCCAACCGTCATGATCACTAATGGCTGAAAGTAACAGGGATTGTCATCCCAACATATTTAAAGAGCATCAGGTAAGGGATGATTGTCATCATGAAAAAAGAACATTCCTTTGTATAACGTAATGTGTGTGTGACTTGCTGTTTTGTAATCCAATTGTCACTTTACTCCCACTGGTGTAAAGGTTTTAAATTATGATGTTACTTTCCTTTGTCTTAAATGCAGAGCTGAGTGGCCCAAAGAGCACTTCATCCCACCCTATGTGCCCCGATTCAGGAACGGCTGGGAGCCTCCTTTGCTGAGCTTCATGGGGGCCCCAAATGAGCAAGAACTCAACCAGTTGGCTGAGTCGGTGGCCAATGTAGCCGAACAACAGAGGAAGCAAGAGATGAAAAGATTGTCAATCGAGGTACGGAAAACCATATATTTTATTCTCAATAGCCCAACTGCAGAAAGGGTTTATGTCAAGGCCTGGGCAGTTTAGCAACAGTGTGTGGTGCTTACATAACCCTTGGGTGGCATTTATGGCATCCCAGAATTAAGTAAAGTCTCAAAAGGCCACCAAACCTTTGCAAGTCTTCACAAGGTTTCTGGCAAGAAGGCTCAACTGTCATGAGGTTTGGGTTCATTAAAAACAAACAAACAAGCTACTTTTCGGAGTTCAGCATCTCACTCCAGCACATGATTTTGTGCCATGGCACCTGCCACCTGAAAAGTGACAATATGCCAATGTGTGGCTTGACTTGTGAATCCCTTGAAACCGTTGTGTGATGTTTTTGGGGTGTGTGTATGTGTCTTCTGCAGCCTGACACCTTTTAGATGGGACTGGAGTTCTGAGAACGCTGAGAATTTGAGAGTTAACAAGCGTGGTGTGTCTGGAGGCACTCAGCGGAGAAGCCTAGTTTATGATTAAAATCAAAAATAAGTATGTTTGCGTCCTTCAGAGTCAATAGGGCAATCATTTTTGACAGGGCTGGAAAAGGAAAATTAAATTCAACCTGACAAGGAAGAGCAGCATGCTTTATCATCTCCCTGCCTTCCTTATTTCTTCGCAGAAAATCCCCGCAGCTTGCTTCATTGGCACTTGGATGGAATGAGTGGGATGGAGGGGATCTGAAATGCAGGACTGTAAAATGGATTGGGTAGTGGGGGAAAAAATATTCCCAATAAGGCAAATACATTTTTTCTGTTCTGATCTGACTATTCTGTTCTATTCTATTGTATTCTATTCTATTTTACTTTTGATTCCATTTCCTATTCCATTCCACTCCATTTCCTATTCCATTCCATTCCATATTCTATTCCATTCCATGTTCTATTCCATTCCATATTCTATTCCATTCCATTCCCCGTTCTACTCCATTTCATTCCACTCCATTTCATTCCACTCCATATTCTATTCCATTCCATTCCATATTCTATTCTATTCTACTTTCGATTCCATTTCCTAATTCTATTTCATATTATGTTCCATTCCATTTCATTTCACTCCATATTCTATTCTATTGCATTCCATATTCTATTCCATTCCATCCCATCCCATCCCATGAGAATCTTGGATGGGAGAAACAAATAAGCATACATTTTCTTAATCATACCGCACTAGTAGTCTATGATAACTGATTGTAACCTGTCTTTGTGATCAATGATACCAGAAAAATGCCAACACAAAAGCTTTCTAGCATTCCTTTGGTATTCTTTGACTGAAGTCTCATGAGTTTTGTGATTGAATGGTGGAAAAATATCAATGTATTCTAACTCTAGGTATTTCCTAAAAATGCCTTGTTCTTACTAAGAAAACAGATTCTTTTCTCTTTTTATTTTGGAAAAAAAGCATCTTTGAATGAATTAACAGCATGCATACTGCTGCCATGGTTACACAGCTTAATGCGCAGAGCTAAGCGTTGACTTCAAATCTAGGAAATTCTGTTTCTTGAACATTAGTCCTAGCTTAATCTCTGTTGAGCTCCATTGTGTGCCTTTTCCCTGTCTTCTGAGCAGGTCTTATTTGAGCCTTGCCACATCAAAATATAAACTGGGCTTGAGAAGGCACCTGAGGGTAGAACAAAAAGCAATGGGTGGAAACTAATCAAGGAGAGAAGCAACTTAGAACTGAGAAGAAATTTCCTGACAGTTAAGAACAATTAATCAGTGGAACAGAAATTGCCTCCAGAAGTTGTGAATGCCCCAACACTGGAAGTCTTTAAGAAGATGTTGGATAGCCATTTGTCTGGAACGGTTTAGGGTTTTCTGCCTAGGCAGGGGGTTGGACTAGAAGACCTCCAAGGTCCCTTCCAACTCTGCTATTGTATTGAATTGTATATTGTATTAAGTCCTATTGCAATGATTTAAGGTCATTTTGTGGTTTGGGGTCTTTGCAGTGATGTCCATTCCTCCATTGACAAGGCTGGCTAATTAGTTTATGTAACTATAGCCCCCTGTGTGACATTTGATCCAATGGGACCAATAATTTGACAAGTTCTGAATTCCCCTTCTAAAGGAAATCATAGCTCAGTGCTAAAACATTCAAAAAACTCCAGGTTCAAAACAATACTGCTAGAGTAAAGAAGTATCATGGGAAAGATGTCCTTAAGTGGGTGCATCACAAGCCCCACCAGGTGGTGGTTCTTCTTCCTCCTCCTCCTCCGCCTCCTCCTCCTCCTCCTCTTCATCCCCTTTTTTTGCTTCTTCTTCTTCTTCTTCTTCTTCTTCTTCTTCTTCTTCTTCTTCTTCTTCTTCTTCTTCTTCTTCTTCTTCTTCTTCTTCTTTCCAATTCACTTCTACTTCCTCCTCCCCCCCCCTCCTCCTCCCTTTCTTGCCTACTCTTTCTGGGAAAGAAAAACGGATTTATATTTTTGTACTGTAGTAGATTGCAAACTTCGTTCAGAGCTAGATGGACTGGAGATTCTAGTGTTCTCATATACAAATAGCGGGACTTATTTATCAGTTCCTGTATGAAACTGTACGAAGGACAATTGTTTTTAGGAGTTGCTTGTTCTGTTTTTTTCACACCCCAAACCACCTTTCTAAAACAATTGGCAACCCCTCTTCCCTTTTCAGATCTTCCCCTGCTTTACTTGCAGAAGATCTGAGCCCATATGAAACTACTAAGGGTAGCCTTCAAAAACTCAAGATTTCCAGACTTATAGATGACTAGCTGATAACCCGGCGTTGCAGGGGTATTTATTTATAGGGAGAAAATGCCCGGATCAAACGTAATTTCTAATGTTGGATCTTCCCCCTTACCAGAGGGAGCCCCCTTGTGGAGTACTGGGAAGCCGTTACCATGACAACTCCATGTGTTGTACAGTAGAAGCCATTTTATGGCAGTACAGCAGAATCCATTGAAAGGCACAACTGGCTGCATCTTAACAGAGCACACACCCCTCTGCCGGACCACAGTATTTTTTTTTCCAGAGAGTAAGTCATCTGGGTACCAAATGTGGTTGAAATTTCTCGAGGTGTTCCAGAATTATGCTGGAACACACACACACACACACATACACAATTTTGATCTGTAGGACACATTTCCTTCTTTAAGGAATGATGATTGAATGTGGTATTGCCCAGTTGTTTGTAAGCTTTTATGAATTTATAATTCATCAATTTCTAGCTCAGATTTCTTGGGATGCAAGGAGCTGGGAATATCATTCCATCAGAGGTGGGTTGCTCCTGGTTCGGCCCGGATTGGGCGAACAGGTAGTGGCGGCAGTGAGAGGCTCCACCCACTCACCCGGGCGCTTCTGAACATGCACAGAAGCATCGCATGCACGAGCAAACCAGTAGTAAAAAAAATGGAAACCCACCACTGCATTCCATGTACCAGTCAGAGCATCTCCCCAATTGCTTTTCCTTATTAAAATATCCAGGCCATTCCATGTTGAAAAATGCTATGGACTCAACTTTTCAGGTTGCAACAATGCAATGACAGTTCTGTGGAAGATGTGTAGAGAATGGCCATGCATAGTTTGCAATGAAAGATCTCTGGCAGACTTTATGTAATCGACAACTAATCTCGTTTGTTTTTCTTTCTTCCAGCATCCCAGCATCTCTGATTATCCTCCATCTGAAGGGTATGCATTCAGTAACACAGCTTACAAAAGAGGGCCTCTGCCGGACCAGGGGGCAGCTGTGGCTGCTTTTAAGCAAAGTGTTAGCCGACATGTAGATAGGTAACTTTACGTGGATGTCATGTGTACAGTTATGGAGAACTGTCCCAGCTGGTGGCTTCTAGGATGAAGGTGGCATTATCTTTATACATCTGTTACTCTTCACTGGCCATAGAAGTAGAGATCCTTCTCTGTGCTGAAACTAAAACTTCTTCCCCCACCCCTTCCTTTTTTTTACTCTGCTTTCTCTAAGTGCTGCTGACAAGTTCTGTTTAAACATGCTATTATAAATAAAGAGAGATAACAGAAATGGATTGTAAAGTCTGAATTGGAGCTTGGAATCTTTTCCTACTTACAAACAAGGAGTTGCCTTGTTCTTGGCCAAGGTCAACACGAGGTGGCCATTTTCTCTGTGGGTTTAACTGTTCACTTTTGCCAAAGGAGACACAGAAGAGAGATGCTCCCTGTAGCTTTCCATACAAAATCAGCTTCCATGCTGTTAAACCAAATGGAGAGAGGATTAAGGTCCATGGATTTTCCCTGGTCTTATAACCCCCAACAAGAAGATTCTTCTCTGCCTTATTAATAGACAGTACGTTTCTGAGTCTAATAGTAAGAATTTATGTAGCTCAGTGTCGAACTGTTGGGTTCCTTGTGTTCTTGAGCTTGACTGTTTTCCTGTAGATATATCAACCCGTCAACATACCATTTACCAGAAACAGGAAACAGTATCAGACAATCAAGGAAGAAGATAGAGAAGGAACCATCAAGATTGGCAAAATAAATTACTATATATATAAGCAACCAGCAATCTGCATTCTCCCTCACCAATGATGTCACCTAGTTTGATAATGAAACATCTTTAGGAAAACAACTGAACTTAGATATCATCTAGAAACAACACATTTCTGGTTGCCTGATGGTGCATGAATATATTACACGGTTTTGCTGTACTCTATCACATCTCCCATCTTCAGCATCTGTGCCCCACTGCTTTAAAAGCCTAGAACAGTGTTGGCGAACCTTTTCGGCACCAAGTGCTGAAAAGGAAGCGTGCATGCAGGCCAGAAACTGTAAGAGCTGCCGTCGGGTGAGCAGGTGTGCCCCGGGAAGATGATATTCTGATTTGCGGCACGCACATGCGCACCAGCCACTTGTGTTTCTGGTTTCTGGCATGCATGCATGCATGAAGACCAGATGGCCGGTGCATATGTGCACGCCGGAAACCAGAAGATCATCTTTCCGGCACATGCATGCACACCCGGCGGCTGCTCTTTTAGTTTCTGGCACTCCCATGTGCGTGAAGACCAGCTGGCCGGCGTGCCGGAACCCGGAAGAGCAACGGGCAACAACTTGAATGCCCAGAGAGAAGGCTCTTTGTGCCACTTCCGGCATGCATGCCATTGGTTCACCATCATGGGCCTAGAAAATACAGGATTGTATTTTCCTAATTCTAGATCAGGAAAGTAATTTGTTGGGGAATTGGAAGCAGGGAGAAATTACACTTTTAAAAAATGAAATGTAGCAATGCCCAATTAGCGAGCAACGTCAAATAAACTGCAGATATCTGTCTTAGATTTAACTTTCCATTTTAACAACATGGGCTTTTTAATGTGTTGGTTGATTGGTTGGTTGGTTGGATGTATGGATGGATGGCTGTTTAGAGGTTTCATATGTAATGCAGTGCCTTACTGTTCTGGGAAACGTAGAAGATAAACATAATAAACACTGTTATGTTGTGATTATGCAATGCTATCCATTGAGATCATAGAAGTTTGCCTTCTCTGTAGCATGTTCATCTTGAGTTCTAGTTTCTTCCCCCAGATGTTGGCCGAGGATGGGTGGACCTCCTTTGGTGTGTGTGACATGTTTGAGTTGTTGACTGCTTCAACCATCTAGTTATTTTCATATGCCCTTTTATATTTGTTGTTTACACTCTGAGCCACCCAGAGTCCATTGGAGTTAGGTGCTGCTCAGGTTAAGGCAAAAAGCAAACTACAAAAATACTTTTCCGCAAATGACAAATAGAAAATCTTAAAAATGAAAACAATAAACGTTAACTTTAAAACGCCTTTCCTAATAATTATAAAAGCAGCTAGTTTCATAATATCCGCCTCACTCAAAAGAAGAGGAAAGTTGATTACGGATGTCAAATACTTCTAAGACAAAGCCAGTAAGAACGGATGTGTGAATCTGGGACAGATTACATGAAAATAGATATTCCTGTAATCAGGTATTATAATTCATTGAAAGCCAGTTTCGTGTAGTGTTTAAGATCTCAGGCTAGAAACCCAGAGGTTGTGAGTTCTAATCTTGCCTTATGCACAAAGCTAGCTGGGGAAACTTCAGTCAATCACTCACTGTCAGCCCTAGGAACAAGACAATAGCAAGGTTTTGAAATCTTCTCAAGAAAACTGCAGGGACTTGCTGAGGTAGTCAAAGGCACAGAAACAATTAGAATTCATTATTATCGATTGTCCTTCTTTTGAAGTTTTGTTTAATAAAGCACCTCCTTGGGTAAATTTCACTTCTTGAATCACTGGGAGTTTGCAAACTAGAGCATTGGTTAAATTACATTCTGCATTATAATGCAATGTTATACATGTATACATCACAGCAACCTTGTGAAAACTACATTGGATTTTTATTTTATTTTATGCAACCCTCTTTTTCCACTGAGTTCTATCCAGATAATCAAGTAGCTTTCTCCAATCTTATATGCTTTCAATACCTTGAAATTTTGGAAATTGTAGTCCTAACATAACCAAAAGACACTATGTATCTTGGGTTTAGGTGGCCTCTAAACTGACATGGCCAATCTCTCCTTTGGCAAAAGCAAATATTCATGAGTTGTGAGTAATGCAAAGTTGTCCAGGGATCACATCACGTGAGTTCCAAAAGCAATGTGTAAAATAAACGATTTTTATTGGAGCGCAACAGTGAACATGTAAAATGTTCCAGGATTTCTGATCGGTTGAGTCCTTGGGCACATAGTGCCTGTCCTTCTTGTCTCATCAAAATGTGCTTTTCCCTTTCAGCATCTCTGTATCCTCAGCTATGTCTTTTTAAATCTCAGTGATTTCAACCTCATTTATCTAAATGGCTTAGGATCAAGAACGCAGAGTATATAAATAGCCAAAAAGGTTGGGAAAACAGTGATGGAACTGCATAGATTATATGAGCCATTGCTTTGGAGCTGAATCATGCATTTTGGATAATCAATTGGTGGTTGGTCAGTGGTAATTCTGTGGTGTCCCTTTTTCTCTTCTCTTTAAGTTGTGACAGTTCTCCACAGCTAATCAACTAGCTAGTTATTCAAGCACCTAAAAGGGGGAATGTATAATTGGTTTGAAATATTTAAATACAAAACAGAAAACAAGAGTCTACAAGTTGTCTTTGTAATGTGATTGCTTATATTGTTGTATTCTGCTTCTAATCATGTAGCAGCTTCATGGTCATTTTGTAGTCTAGTTTCAAGGACATAGCTTATCATTTTTCAGCTTTTCAATAGCCCCAGTCAATAAAATTTCAAATCTAAAGTCATTTACAGCTAAGGCTATGAATCAAAATGGAGTGTGCTAAACTTGGAAAATAAAAAGACGATAGATTAAAAAAAAAATTCCCAAGCCAAGGTTCTAATAAAAGTGGAACTAATTGCAATTAAGGATTGCTTCCCATGTATTTGTCATCCTTTTCTCTCTTATCATATTACAAAATATAAATTGGCAACAACTCTTTAAAGGGACTTTCTGGGCCACATCTAAAGCTTTATGAGGCCAAGTGTATCTAAAATGCCCCAGGCTATTTTTTTAAATTTCTAACTAATCTCCTTCCCTGACGTCAAAAATCTGTTGCGGGAAAAGAATCCTCAGCTTACTTCTGTGATCTGGATCAAAAGATGTAACTCTTGGTAGAACATGTGCTTTTGCAAGCGGGAGATTTTGGGTTCAATCCTTGGCTGAGAAAAGCTTACCTCGGGAGCTGGAAAGAGAGAGGATAACAGTGAGCTAATGGGTCATTGGCCTGCTTTCAGAATGTGTTTGCTTTCTCCTTGGTGAAAATGTGTCCTTTGCTAGTATATAATATACATCTCATCATGTGTGCACGAGGATTGACTGAATCTGTGGGAAATTATATTGCAAAACAGTATAATTTACAAGTTATCTAGGTACCATGTGATCTAGATATTAAAGAGTTGTATTTGATAGAGGTGTGATGGTGAACCTGTGTGCTGTTGGCAGCTGTTCTTTTGGTTTCCAGCATGCACACATGCGCCAGCCAGCTGGTCTTCACAAGTGCCGGAAACCCGAAGATCAGCTGGTCTTTGGGACCTGGTCTTTGGGTTTCTGGCGTGCCAGCCACCTGGTGTTCGCGCACACTGGTCTGCCAGAAACCTGAAGACCAGCTGGCTGGTGCGCATGCGCACGCCGGCCACCTGGTCTTGGGTTTCTGGCGCTCACACGCATTCCAATTTGGGCACTTGGTGTCAAAAAGGTTCACCATCACTGATAGAGTGTTGTACAGAGGTGGGATTGAAAATTTTTAGCAACTGGTTCTCTGCCAGATTGCTGGGTGGGCGTGGCCTACTTGGCAGATTTTCACCCTCCCCAGTCTAAGGAGATGTTTCTCGAGCCTCCGAGAGGGTGAAAATGGCCTCCCCTGGAGCCCGGAGGCCCTCTGGAGGCCAGAAATGGGTCCATTTCCGGACTTCCGGAACTTCTGGGAGGGCCATTTTTTGCTCTCCCAGAGCCTCCACATGGGCTCTTAACTGGCATCCAAAACAGGCTGCGTGCAGACTCCTGGGAAGGGCAGAGTGGGGTGGGTGGGGCCAGCCAGTCCTTGGAACTACTGGTCCAGCGAACCAGATGTAAAATTAACATACAGTTCGCCCAAACCGGTCTGAACCATCTGAATCTGAATGCACATAAAAGGAAGACAATTGTGAATAAGGAGCGGGGATACAGATGGCATTACTCAAAAGGCTAATGATGTCATTGAGATGGGTCATTTCTAGGATATTTGGGGACCAAGACAGGATTTTAGGAGGGAAATAAGAACAGGAAAGGACCCCATTTTCACCTCTAGAAGTTGACTGAATTTCAGTGGCAGGATTTGAATCACTTTTGTGGGGGGTGAGTGAGGTAAATTTAGGGTGGAAATGGATGCAATTTCCTTCTCAGATGCCTTCCATTTCCACTCTTCTTTTTATTGTGCTAAAAAATTTTGCTAGCCTGTTTGGACAGGAACATCTAGTGATGTTGAGAAGCTGGATTTTGGCTTCACCCCTGGATTGAGTGAGGATCAAAACTCTATGAAACCAAAGCATCCTTTCTGGATATTTTGGTTTGATAGAATATCTGGATATATTTCACATGTATGCCCTTGAAAGGAATCATGTTTGGGAAGATACACTTAATCTGGATTCTCCATTAATTATAAACTCACAGAGCAGGCATGGTTTACGCTGACTTTAAAAAATCCTACACACGATTAAATCCAAATGTAGTACTAAGGAGGAATCTTAACTGCTAAGCCTTTAGTGGCCTGATTATGTTGAGCAAACACAGCTACTAATAGCTAAAGATGTTGTCAATGATGAGGTTGGTTTCATAGTTAAAGCTTCACCACCAACACTGACAGGGCAAGCCACTTGTATATAAGCAGAGAGCAAACCCCATTCCTTTCTAATACTGATGACATTACCTAGTTGGGTAATGAAATGTCTGCCAGAAAATCACCAAGCTCAGAGAGTTTTAAAGACTCCTCTGTTTACCGCTATTTTATGTGCAACAATGTACACACAAAAGAGGACATTTCACTCATGACACCACGGCAGAGGTGGGTTCCTACCAGTTTGGACTGGTTTGGCGGCCTGGGTCGCTGGAACCGGCAGTAACCCAGGCTGACACACCACCGAACCAGTTCTTCTATGGACCGCCATCTTGATTTTTGGTTCTGCACATGCGTGGAACAATTTTAATTGCACAAATTTAATTCCCCCCCTTTTAAACATTTTACTCATGCACAGACCTATTTTTGTGCAAATGTGCACACAGGTATGCGCCTGGCGTGCACGTGCATTTTTTTTTGTGCGCACCAAACTGGCAGTAATGCGAGGAG